GGGGGTCCTCTTTCCCCTTTACTTCCTTTTAAGCCTGGCCATCCAGGGGCTCCTCTGAGGCCAGGTCTTGATGACCCTTGGAGAAAATAATCATCATTATATTTTAAATTTATCTTGATAAATATATAGTTATTTTCCAACTGCAAACACATTCTTATTTATAAAAGTTGCACAACTGAGAGGGATAGAAAGCATGCAAAATAGAAAGTGAATGTTGTTACTTCCTTCACCTGCGACCTTGTTAGGAAGCACAGTGCAGAACACTCCACTCCCACAAGATAATTCCTGTCATTTATTACAAGGGACAGAAAGTTTGGGATGCACTGGAATCGTTTCATTTGAGAAGACACAAGAGCAATTCTTCCATAGAGGTTACTGCATAGATATTTTTATTAGTGACTAGAGCATGTCTCATGCCCCAGATGAGAAAGAGAGACAGCTGTGATTGGATTTTATTCCTGGCGATTGTCTTAGATACAAAAGGGCATGGAAGGGGAGGCAGGCACCTTCTGGGAGGGGAGCATGCCAGCTGGGACAAAACCCATCCCCATCCTAAAATGGCAAGGACGTGAGAAGGGGGAAAGTCTCAAATGTCCACCTTGCAAACAGCTTAAATTATTAAGTGATTCATCACCATGCAGAAACTGAGACACAGCAGGGTTAACATCATTCTTTTTCTTTTAGAGAGATTTTTGCTATAGGGAGCATGAGCTTACCAGAAAGACAGAGAGATGGAGAGAGAGAAATTGAGAAATTTCCCCTCAGGGGAGATGGCCATACTGCAATCCCTTTTCCTTCATCCTTCTCTTGGGATTTTGGGTATGCATGCACACATGCCCGGTGTGAATTTCAAGCCTCTGGTCCAGGACTCCCATGTGGGATCCAGCACCTTAGCCTCTACACCACCTGCTGGGCCTTATCTGATTATTTCTTATTATTTGAACATAAAGGCAAATCTTTCTGATTGTTGTCTTTTTCAGAACTTTGTGATTTTTCTACTCTACTTCTTCAAGGAACCTATTGATTACGTAGGGGCCTGGTAGAGAGAAGGAGGTCTTCCTTCATCTTCGGCCAAACCTCTAAAGTACTTTTTGCCTCACTCCAACTTTAAGAGATACTCACTCTAACAGTGTGATGTATACTTTCCCATATATGTATAGGTACACATAATATTTATCCATTTCGGCATCCATTTCTTTTTATGGTGGGATTATAGTGGACCTAGAATTCTACAATCTGCTTAACTTTTATCGCTTTCAAAATTATTAAATAGTTTAATATGTAACATCATATAGAGAAAAATATATTCAGTGGCAGGAGCCCTCCAGGCTGGTTTATCAAATCTTGGATCTTTTTTCTTAGTTGTGTTTCCTTTGAAAAGAATGCAGTATGGTTATAATCCATGGGCCTGTGGGACCCACATCTGATCCTGTTCTTCCACTCTCGAAAGGTAAGCATTCTAATGACTCATGAGCCAACGTTTAAAACTTCGCAGAAGAAATTATGATGTACGGTATCCTTATGTAACTTGCAATATGTTATGAAAAGTGTAGTTTTCTTTTTTAGTTGGCAGAGGCTGTGCGCAGTTGCGAGAGAGAGAGAGAGAGAGATAGAGAGAGATAGAGAAAGCACTGTCCACGGGTCATGGGCATGCTGAAATCCCTTCTCCATTTCTCCATCCTGTCAGATTTGGGGCGTGCATGCACATGTGCCAGGCGTGTTTCTCAAGCCACTTGGGCTGGGACTCAAACTACAGACAGCCATGTGGGATCTGGCTGTCTTAACGACTAGGCCATAGGACAAGCCTGAAAATGTTCATTTTTAACCAACCTTATTGCCATGTTACTATCCTCTTCTATTTCTGTGTCTCCTGTGGGTTTCAAAGCCCAGCTCATAACCTAAAGTTATTGTAGAAATTCCTTGACAGCAGGTCCTGCATACTGAGTTACAATTCAGAGAAGTGATAAAGAGCATTTCTACACCACTTTGTATTAGCTTCTGCGCCCTGTTCCATTGCAGGTCACAAGGATAACGAGTTCTAGGTCAGTTAATGAAGTGGTCATCTTAGGTAAAAAATGCACACTTCATTGGGAATGGTGTATTTTCCTCTTTAACAGCATTTCTATTTATACCCTGAGAATCATGCACATACCAGGACTTCCAGGAGCTCCGGGGGGGCCCACAGGACCTGGAAATGCATAACAGAAGTTAATGGTTTAGAAAGATATACACGCTACCTCCTCCACTTTTGAAATCTTGGTGGCAATATGATAATAATAGAGACTTTCCAACAATAATAAAGAGCTATTCTCCCATTCTCATACAGATAAATACTAGAAAAGCTCACTTACTTAGACAAATTTCAGAGACGAATCTAATCTTGGATGTCTAACATGCAAAGGTAAATCACGTTGCCTTGTCATTTTTAAGTAATTCAGCAGGGATTACTAAGAGCCTGCTCTGCATTTGGCACTTTTTGTTGGGAGTTTCAGAAGTCAGAAATTCCAACATCCCTATAATCATCAAGGAGCTGCAGTTTGGCCAGTTTCCACCTTAGATCACTTCTAGCTGTAATATTCCATGGGGCTCTCATTCTTTGATATATATCTATAACTATATATAACTGTATGTATATATGTATAATTTATAATCTATGCACAGTTTATACACACACACATACATATACACACACACACACACACACACACACACACATATATACTTGAACTTTAGGCTTTGCCACATGACAATAATTTAGTTATTTTTGATGGTATACTATCTAAGAAATTTTCCTATGAAAATTATGAGCTAAGAAATAAGACCATTACTGAGACCAGCAGCCAGCATAATGGCTGTGTCACTGGACTCCCATGTAGTCGACCGTGGTTCGAGTCCCGGACCTGGTGGCTTAAACTCATGCCAGGCGCGTGTGCGTGCGTGCCCAAGATCCCGAGAGGAGAATGGAGGAGAAGGGATTGTGGCGTGGCCATCTTCCCGGGGGGTTGATTTCTTGCTTTCTGTCTCTCTGTCTCTATAGCAAAAACCTCTCAAAAAAAAAAAAGAAAAAAAGAAAGACCTTTACCCATGAAAACTAGGAGACCTTTCCTGCCCCTCTATAATCCTAGGACTATGAGCACAAACTATTCATTACCTTGAAAGAAATACAGAAAAATAAACTGGGGAACCAGCGGTTAGCTTAATGGCTATGTCGCTGGACTCCCATATAGTCGACCGCGGTTCGCGTCCCGGACCCAGTGGCTTAAAACTCACACTGGGCGCGTGTGCGTGCGTGTCCAAGACCCCTAGAGGAGAATGGAGGAGAAGGGATTGCGGCGTGACCATCCTCCCTGGGGGGTGATTTCTCGCTTTCTGTCTCTATGTCTCTCTCTGTCTGTCTGGCGAGCGCACACACCCTATAGTGAAA